AAAAAAAAAAAAAAAAAAAAAAAAAGAAATGAATTTTGAATTGGAAAGCGGAAATTGAATTATTCAATAATTGGGGTGTACGTACACCCCAATATTTATAATAAATTTATTTATTTCTTTATTTATTTATTTTATTAATATAATTTAATTTAATTTATTTATTCATATATAGTATATAAAATTTTTATATATAGTATTACCTGCTTGTTTATTATTATTCTTATTATTATTATTATTATTATTATTATTATTATTATTATTTTCTTCTTTTTCTTCTTTTTCTTCTTTTTCTTCTTTTTCTTCTGTTTCTTCATTTATATGTTCTTTCTTTCCTCCTTTTTTATTTTTTTTTCCTTTTGCTGCTGCTCCTGCTGCTGCATCTGCTTCTTCTTCTGCTTCTGCTGTTGCTGTTGCTGCTGTTGCTGTTGCTGCTGCTGCTTCTTCTCCTTCTTCTTCATGAGTTATTTTATTTTTCTTCTTTTTATTGCCAATTAAATTTTCTTCTTCTTTTATTTTATTTTTCTTTGTCTTCTTTTTATTTGCATCTATAAGGAAAAAGAAAAACACAAAAAAATAATAAACAAATTGTTCTGCTGCTGTTGCTGTTGTTGCTGCTGTTGTTGCTGCTGTTACTCTTAATTAAGGTTTGTCTTACCTTCTGCTGCTGCTGCTGCTGTACATAGCTGCAGCAAATCAAAAGAATCTGCTGCTGCTGCTGCTGTGTCAATATCCCATTCCTGCAGCAAAAACAATCAACAGCAGCAGCAGCAACAGCAATAAATACATAAAGATATGTGTTGCTGCTGCTGTTGCTGTTGCTGCTGCTGCTGCTGCTGTTGCTGTTGCTGCTGTTGCTGTTGCTGTTGCTGTTGCTGCTGCTGCTGTTGCTGTTGCTCCTCATCCTGCTGCGGATGCTACAGTTGTTGTTGTTGATGCTGCTGCTACGGTTGTTGGTGTTGCTGTTGTTGTTGTTGTTGCTCCCGTTGCTGCTCCTGCTGCTCTTGCTGCTCCTGCTGCTGCTGTTGCTGCTGCTGCTGCTGCTGCTGCATTGTCTTACCCTTTTTGCTGCTTCTTTTCTTATTGCTTTTGCTGCCTTGGTGAATTCTTGTTGCTCTAAGAAATTTAATATTGCTGCAGCAATGCGTAACTCTATTCCTCCCTCCATCTTATAAACCCTAAACCCTAAACCCTAAACCCTAAACCCTAAACCCTTGATATATAAGAAAGGGTTATTTTTTTTTTTCTTAGAAGTAGATCTTTTGCAGCAGCAGCAACAGCAACAGCAGCAGCAACAGCAACAGTAGCAGCAACAGCAGCAGCAACAGAAGATAGGTGGGGCTAATGAGGTAAAGAAAGAATCTTATTAATAAAAAAAAAAATAAAAAATAAATAAATATATTTATTTTTTATTTTTATTAATAAAAGAAAAGAAAGAAAAACCCCAAAATATTATTTCTTCTTTTGCCCCACAGCTAGCAACTAACAAAAAAGAAATTTTTTTTTCTTCTTTTCTCCTCCTTTTCTTCTTTTTTCTTTTCTTTTTTATTTTATTTTATTTATTTTATTTATTTTATTTATTTTTATTTATTTTTATTTATTTTTATTTATTTTGTTTCTTATATCCACGAAAAAATACACGCAAAAGCCCCAACAGAGATGAGGGGCCCCAGCATTAGGGTTTAGGGTTTAGGGTTTAGAGAATTAGGGTTTAGGGTTTAGGATAAAAGGGTTTATTATATTTTAATTGTTTTTAATTATTTAATGGTTTAATTATTAAGGGTTTATTTATTGTTGCATGCATTAATTATATTTTTTTTCTTCTTTTTCTTCTTTTTTTTTCCTCTTCTTATCTATATAATTATATTTATATATATTCCTTTTTATATTTTCTTCCTGCATGCAGTCGTTAATCTTTCTTATAATTATAATTATTAATTATAATTATTAATTAAATTAATTAATTAAATTAAATACGAATAAATATAATAAAAAAAAACCTAATTTATTAGTTGTATATATGCATGCTTCTTGCTGCTGCAGCAACAGCAGCAAATTAACTACTAAACCCCTAAACCCTTTACTAACCCTAAACCCTAAACCCTAAACCCTAAACCCTAAACACTAAACCCTAAACCCTCTATTAGGCCCTTTTCTCCCTATATATACTACTATAAAAGGAGACAATTATATCTCTATTCGTATACAAATAAAAGGCTACTATATATAAAATATATATATTATTAATAAATAAATAAATAAATAAATAAATAAATAAATAAAATAAATTACTAATGAGGTGTATACATACACCGCATGCATGCCCATGCAACAAGAACAAATTGTACCTAAATAATAACTACCTACTAATTAATTAATAAGTAATAAATAATTATATTTAATTAATTAATTAATTAATTAATTAATTAATAAGGGAGTTAGCTCTTTTTTATATACAAAAGAAAAAAAGAAGAAAAAGAATTCCTTTTCTTTATTATATATGTATATATAATATACATAATGACTCATGATGTATATATATACATAAATATATATATTTATATATAAATAAATAAATAAATAAATAAAATAAATAAATAAATATATTTATTTATTTATTTATTTATATCTATATATATATTTATATTATAATAAAGAAAGAGAGGAAATATAATCTTTTCTTCTTTTTTCTTGTCTTTCTTCCCTTAATAATAATCCTTACCCACATTATAATTAATTATTAATTAATTAATTAATTAATTAATTAATTAATTAATTAATAATTATATATAATAATTAATAATTATATATAATATAATTATATAATAATAATTATTATATAATTACCCGCATATACATACACGGGCGCCAATAA